GCCTCCTCGTCTTTGCTCGCCTTCTCCATGTCGGAGTAATACTCCAGGGCTCTCCGCACCGGCTCCAGAATATGTTGCTGCACAATCAGTGGAAAAAGGAAATACCTCTGAGCACATGTAATATAAATCAGTGGGAACAGCAGAATCTAAAAGTTTGATGAGTTCACCTCCAGGCAGGGGAACAGCTTGGTGAGCTCACTGAAGAGCGGCAGCAGAACAAACCGGATGAAGTTGGTCTGAGACGACGGTTTGGAAACTTTGTCTCGGTCCATGAACGGACTCACAGGAAGTCCCTTCTGTTTCTCTGTGTCGCTCTGTGACAAAACAAAAGCACGTCGATCCAGAGTTCGATTGTGATTCACTGTAGTCGTGACGGGAAACTCTAGAAAAACTCTTTTTGAATCTGGAAACCGAGTGAGTGATAGAGCGATAACTAGAAGTTAGAAAACTTTCAGTGTCACTGTGCAAAAACAAATAAACGTTAAACAGATTCATAAAAACATCAGAACTAATATGTAACGGTCCTTTAGTTTCAGACCACACTTCTATTTTCTTTTCTATCGTACAGATGAATCATATCTTTCTCCTCCTCCAGATGTGCTGCAGTTAAATCGCAGCCTGATGTTTTAATGACACAGAACCTGGACTCATTGATTCCATGAACTAATGATCTGAGATTCCTCCAGTTCACTTCCTGTGTGTGGATCAGGGAATAAAAGACCTGGTGGAAGAACTCCTGCAGGAGACAGTCCAGCCACGGCTCGGCCACCGCCATCGGCCGCGCCTCGTTGGAGATGTCGCTGACCTTCACCATGATCTTCATCAGCTGCAGAATCAGAGGAAAAGGTAAGAACACGGAGAGAAAACTCCCACACACAGTTTTTCAGAAGCTGGCAGATCTCCGTCGTTACCACTTCCTTGTGGTCCTTGTTGGTGAAGTCGAACACCGACTGTATGGACTTGAACTTGTTGAGGATCTCGTTGTGTCTCGCCATGTCGGTGGCCAGAATACATCTGCCGAGAGAAAGAAGCGACAGGAGCTCATGAGAGAGGAGGTGGAGGACGGAGACGCAGCAGATACTGAAGACGCTGAAGTACTTGATCATTCCTCCTCGGATGTGTTTGTACTGCTCGCTGCTCAGGTTCTTCAGGATGTTGCACTCAGGCTGAAAAAACAGAAAGAGTTTTATTTAATTCACAGCTTTTTGATTTGTTGCTGCTTCGTTAAATATTCACACAGTTTGTTTTTCATAAGGAAGATAAAGAAAGATGAATTTAAAGTTGTACAACTTAACTCAAACTTTATCCTGAGGCGTTTATTTATTTATTTAGTTTCTTTTGTTCATTAGAAATAGTTTGTTGAGATTTAGACGTTTGGCTCAGTCACAAGTTAAATGTGTGTTTATAAAACATTAATTTATTGAAACATCTGAACGTGTCATGTTGTTCTCGCCTTGGCCAGGATCCCAAAGGCGATGGCACAGTGGTGGTTCTCCAGCGGCGAGATGTCGTTGTAGCGCAGAGCTAAGTCGGTCTGAGCGTTGATCTGTGGAGAATCATCAACATACAAATGAAGCGGACACAAGCACCTCGACTACGAGAGGAGGAGGAGTAGGAGGAGGAGGAAGAGGAGAACAGTGAGGGACCTGGTACACGTTGTTGTAGCCGGGGTGGTCGAGGTCGTGGCACAGAGCCGAGGTCAACATGATAAACAGGTCGGTCCTGCCCAACTTATTCCTGAGGTCCGTCAGCCAGATGAGTCCGTACATCTGGAAAAACACCAGGACAGAAACGTTCACCGGGATCTGAAGCTTCCGCTCAGAAAACTGCACCAACACAGAAACTCAGCTCTGTTCAAGAGTCCAGCAGAAAACTAGACGTGTGCTTTCACACAAAACACAACATACTCAAGAAGAAGTTTTAATAAACCTTCAAATACTGAAAGAAATATTTCAAACTACAGACGCAGTTTACGTACATTCACGGGTGGAGACTTTATTCAGACCAGAGAAGAAGAAATGAGGAACAACTCATGTGACTTAAATCAAATCAGATTTTCAGATGCATTGTGGGTCGTACCATCTGCGTGACACAGAAGCAGTGCTGGAAGTTGTGGAACGGGATGTTGTTGTAGTGACAGTAGACCTCGAACAGGAAGTTCTGCAGCACCTCCAGCTCGATGTTTAACGCCGACAGGAAGTCCAGGCTGGTGTACATCACCTGGAGGAGCACCAGCATCTCCGCCTCCTCCCACTGCCTGGGGGGGAGGACGTCAGGTGTGAGAGGAGAGAGAGAGAGAGAGAGTGTGTGTGTGTGTCTGTTCTCACCAGTTGTCAAAAGTGGGAGTTTTCAGAAGCTCCCTCACGTCCTCCGTCACCTGCAGCGAGCTGAGGAGACACAAATGTCTTTTTCAGCTGTTTGACGCAGATGTTCAATATTCCAGATGTGTTTGCTGCCATCAGTCATTTACACATATCAACTCTTAAGATCCTGTTTGTGTCAGGTCACCTGATGTTGAGGAACTTCCTGCGGACCTGTTGGCGCTCCTCCTGCACGCTCAGCTGAGGCGTCTTGGGTTTGGGGGTGAACTTGGCGAGATGCTGTTCTCCGTCGTCCTTGAACAGACCGATCCAGCTCAGGTGCTCCACGCTCTGTCCGCGGGGAAACAACTTTTCATGCCACATAGAAGCTTCAGTCAGAATGAGCTCCTGACAGTCTCCTGGGTTTATCTCTGTTCATTATTATCATCATGTTATAATAATGATATCATATTTAGACAGAACTCGTTTCTACTCATGACATAAAGCTGCAGCTTCACTGGATCGAACATCTGTTGCCAAACCTCCAGCTTCCTCTTGAAGGACTCCACGTGGCTCTTCAGCTCGCTCATGATGTCCGGAGTCTTCCCCACGTCCTGGTTGACTTTGCTCTCCAGGTGGTGCAGCCTGAAGGTGGAGGCAGGACACCACAGTGAGTCGTCTCCACACAGACGCTGCGGGACATCGCCGCTCGGGACCAACTCACCTGTGCTCCATGTTGTCCAGCTCCGAGGACTTGGCCACGGCTGCAGAGGTTGGACGGTTAGAACCCACACGACAGAAAGAGTTTTAAATCTAAAGAACTTTAAAGTAGAAAATATGAAATCTCACCTAAAAGTCTTTTCAGTTTAATTCTATTTTAAATCTTATTCCTATTCTTTCGTTGTATTTTCTAAAAACAAATCAGTGCGGACTGAAACCTTCCAAACATCCTTGTGAATTTCTAAAAGTGTAAAATGTTTAATCTCCAACATTAAAACTCAACAGTGTCGACATGATCTCGTTCCCATGAGATCAGATCTAACTGTAATATATCTATATACATATATCTATATATATATATATATATGTATATATATATATAATATAATATTTCATGTGTGTAAACATATGAAGGAGCAGAGGACTCACTCTGCAGGTCGGACGCCACCACCTCCAGCCGGTAGTACGACTCCTTGCTGTTGGCCTCCAGCCGGGGGGAGATTTTCACCACTGTTCCCTCTCTGTTGTACATCTTCAGGATGTGGTGAGGCCCCGCCTCCGCCGCCGCTCTAAACAGATCTGTCGGACGCAGTCAGGAAGTTTTATTTGTCTCATAGAAATAATGTTGTGGAAACAGGAAGTCCTCCCTGTCCTCTGCTGTCTGAGCCGTCTTGGACAAACGTTTACGTCTACTTTGATTTTTTTAGTTTGGTCCGTGTCCCATCTGTTAACATGGAGGAGCTTGTGAGTTCTACTGATACCATATCTATGTTTTAGAGCTGGTGTCTTCTCTCTCTGTTGACTGGTCGAGTCAAAGGTGAAGAGCGTCAGACAAGGTGCGGAGACGTCACATGTTTAATTCAGGAGTCCTGAGGACAAACAGCTTTGACCTGAGGACCTGTCAAACACACATGGAGGTCGGGTCCTCGCACAGAATCATCAGCAGGAAACCAACAGAAACTTTTCATTTCACTCTTCTTCTTCATCTGACCTTAAATCTGATGTCTGACCGACACAGCGGCTGAGACACGGTTTTATTCATCTACCTGAGGATGGTGAAGATAACCCCCAGCAGACAGAGGCGTCGGACCTCAGGCCCCGTCCTCCTCTTACCTTTGACGTCTGCAGCAGAGCAGTCGGGTCCGAGCTCGGCCCTCTCCAGCCTCCCGTTCACCTTGAAATGGATAATTTTTGTCGTCATCCCAGAGCCAGGTGAGTCGTTCCACGAATGACAGTGACACCTCTTGACTCCGGCACGTTCACTTTGGATGTGGAAAGTGAGGCACCTGCCGCTGACAGAGAGCCCACCCACTCATCCCTTCACCCACTCATCCGTCCATCCACTCATCCGTCCATCCAAGGCTGCATAACGACCAGGAGAAGTGGGTCAGGGGTTTCCCTGACAGCCCTGGATCCGCTCATTTAAACTGAATTAGTTTATTATTCATTAGAATTGAATGTGTATAGAAAACTATAATTACCAGACAGAAAACCTGGGGGGAAATATTTTTATTTTGAATTTGAGGTCATTGTAAGGCTGCAACAATTCATCACTTTGATCAAATGAATCTGAACCAGAAAACTGAGAAAAAGAATTCCAAAATTTAAATCAAAAAAATTGATCTCATTTCAAAATGATCGCTGATTAATTGTAGTTGGTAAATTAATCACCAACTAATTGATTAATCACATTTTAGGAGCTCTACTTCAATCAACTGGTTATTCAGAGTCAGATTCAAATTGAATATATCATCAGCAACATAAAGGAGAAATAAAACCAGCAAATATTCAAATATTAATATTATATTATTACATATATATTAACATTTGAATATATTATTACATATATATTAATATTTGAATATATTATTAAATATTTATTAATATTTGAATATATTATTACATATGTATTAATATTTGAATATATTACATATATATTAATATTTTTTTATCACAAACACTTTGTACAAAGTTCTGCAGGGTTGGTGCAGTTCCCGCCTCCTGCCGGCAGGTGTCGTGGTTCTGCCGCTCCCCTCACCGCAGGATGTACGGCAGCTGCCATGTGACAAACTGGGACTGACCGTCTGTTGTCGGTGTGTTGTCGGTGTGTGGTGGTGTCTGTTGGCCGTTAATGTCGGTGAACAGCCGGGTGAGCGCCCCTCTCACTGACCCCGGAGCTGCGGGACCGAGCCCGGCTCCTCTGTTCGCTCCGGCCGCTGAGCGGGGAACCCGCGGGGCTGAGATGTGAGGCAGCGCCGACACTCGGGACTTTTTCTCCGGGAACCACTCGAGTCCATCCGGTGAGTGAACGTGGAACCGGCCACCGGATTAACACCGAGTCACTTACCCGCCGCGGGGCAGCCGAAGTGCGGCTCGAGCCTCTGTACCCGCCGCTAACTTAGCTCCGGTAGCTAACAGCTCCACTGAGTCGGACGTAAAGCCAGCTAGCCGCGGGCTAGCACGAGAAGCTAACGGCTACACGAAGTGTTGAAGTCACTTTACTTCACTTCCAGCTGCTAATGCTAAGCTACAGGTTAGCAAGATGGCTTCTGCTCGTGTGTTTATCAGCCGCAGGTTCGATTCCCGGGGTTAAACTTCTTCTTCTCTGTTAACACACAGAGCGACGAGCCGCAGCTTCCATCCCCGCAGCACCATGGAGCTCACCCCGCCGCCCGCAGCCGCCTCTGAGGCGTCATAACCGGTGTGAGCTCGGCCCCGACAGCTGCAGGAGCTCCGGAGAAGAGAGGAGAAGGAGCTGCAGACATGGAGGAGGACGAGGAGGTGGTGGCCGTCAGCATGGACTATCTGCTGGAGCAGGCGATGCACAAGGACCTGGGCAGGAGGCTCCAGGTGGGGCCGGAGATCATGGAGCTCATCCTGGACCAGGAGCGGTGTCCCGAGCTGGAGCAGGACCAGGGCTCCGTGGACAGGATGGTGGACGCGGTGGCCAGCTCCTGGGTCAACTCCAGCAACTTCAAGGTGAGGACAGGTGGAGGAATCAAGCACACCCCCCCCCCACCATACATGTCCCCATGTCTCCTGTCACACTGGAGCAGAGGACAGGAGGTTAGAGTCATTCATTAGGGACGTAGGACATGATGGTTAATATCTCATGTTGGTGTGTGAGGGTCCACACCTGAATGTCTCAGGCCCAGTGTGGGTCTGTCCTCCTGATCCAGAGCCACTGGCTGCAGCGTCATAAATACATCAGACAACAGGATAAAAATAATGCTGCACGATGGTGAACTTTGTTACACAACTTATTTCTACAACACAACTTTTGTCTGGTGGTGGAGACGTGCAGGAATTAGTTTCACCCATTATTCAAACAGGTTCTCTGAGGGTTGCAGTGATCTATGGTCAGAAACATGCACGTTGTCAGACTGTGGGAGGAACCTGGAGAACCACCCC